CTCAGACGTGATTCAGATGCTCAAGTATCAGCCAGGAAATTTAAAATAATGATGATGAATATGATAAAGGTAGTAGTAGAAGATGTGGAAAATGTGTATTGCATGTGAGGAATTTCACCAGAGAGGTGAAAATAAGTAAATAAAAATATTTGATTAAAAAAAATAAAATAGAATTGGAATATTTTTGACAGGCTCATCGGTAATCTTTTATTGTACTGAAAACGTTTAAGTCAATAACCACTTTTATTCTTATCTAAGACTAAAGCTATTGGCATAGGGTTTGGCATAAACTGTGAATTCAATAAATGCCTTTTAATAAATAGATTTACTATTTTTAAAATATTAATTGCAAGATTTCAAATAATATTTTAAAAACATGAATTAAGGAATAATTTGCATGCAATAAAGGTCAGGTATTTTAAAGATAAACATTAATTCTTTTTATGCAATTTACAGTGAAGCGCAAATATCACTTAAATCTAATTTTGGAACATTTCAATCATCCCACAAAAACCTTTCAAATTCATTTACCTACCCATCCATCTATCTATGCTTTTTTTTTTTTTTTTTTTTTTTGAGGGTGAGGGGGACGGAGTCTCACTCTATCACCAGGCTGGAGTGCAGTGGAGCTATCTTGGCTCACTGCAATCTTCGCCTCCCTGGTTCAAGCAATTCTCCTGCCTCAGTCTCCCGAGTAGCTGGGACTACAGGTGCATGCCACCACGCCCAGCTAATTTTTGTATTTTTAGTAGAGATGCGGTTTCACCATGTTGGCCAGGATGGTCTTGATGTCTTGACCTTGTGATCTGCCCCACCTTGGCCTCCCAAAGTGCTGGGATTACAGACATGAGCCATCACTCCTGGCCTCTATGCTTTAACAAAGCATATTTTATTCATTTTTCTTTTATTTATTTTTGTGCACATGTGATATAAAAGGTATTTGTTATCTCACTCTTATTGCCTTTTATTAAAAAATTTTTCTGTTGCTGTGTGTGTGTGTGTGTGTATAGATGGAATATAATTGAAAGGGTTAAGTCAAGAAACAAAGTATGCACACCTAAGTGTGCTGTGGAAGAGATTCACGCAGAATAACTTAAAGGACTGCTATCTGAGAAACAAGAGGTAGAAGAAAAGGTGAATCGAGGAAATAAAAGCTGAATCTATTTTTAGACTCTTTAGATCTAAAAATAGATTCAGTTTAGATCTTTATTGAGATCAGAAACTTTCACAGGCGTGTGTGTCAAGTATGATAAACTAAGCATAAGCATAACAAGTATTAAATCAATGAATAGTAGGTCTCGGCACCTAATCAATGTAGTCATTCACTTGTATTATTGTAGTCAAGGACATCACTTTCCTGAAAAGACGGACATCTCAACTTATTTTTTGGTGTGACAGATGGAGACAAGAGAGGGAAAAGCAAAGCACATTTATGGTCATGTTGACTCTGTAAACCAAAAACAGACATGCTCTGCTGGGGTGTGCTGCTCCACCAAGAGAAAACGTGTAGGCAGGGAAACGCTCATTTATAGTTTCTGACTGTTATCACACATTTATTCTAGTACAGAGGAGCTTTGGTTGCCAGAGGGTCAAATATCAATACATCTACTCATTTTCCGGAGTATACAATATTAAAAATCGAAAACTGGATCACAACATCTCAGCCTATACCTTGAGTAGAGAAAAAAGAAATAATATATGCAAATATTTGCCTCTGCCAGAGCAGTTTCACTGTATAGTAAATGACTTTCTCAGAATATCCCATAAACCCAGGTTAGTCCTCTTCTCGTTACTAACTGCATAAATTGGCAATAAAAATCCACACAATGCAGTCCTCAAATCTCATCTCTGAGAAATAAGATTCTTATGTCATCTGGTAAATAGTGAAGTAATCTAAATAAAAGCCTTCCAAAACACACATTAAAAACTATAGGCCAAAGTATACTTACAGCAATTTGAAATAAAACAAAGAAAACTTAAAGCATTAAAATTTTCGCAAAACATGGTGGCTAGCAAGATGGCCAAATAGGAACAGCTCCAGTCTACAGCTCCCAGCGAGATTAACACAGAAGGCGGGTGATTTCTGCATTTCCAATTGAGGCTCATCTCATAGGGGCTAGTTAGACAGTGGGTGCAGCCCATGGAGGGTAAGCCGAAGCAGGGTGGGGCTTTGCCTCACCCAGGAAGCACAGTGGGTCGGGGAATTCCCTCCCCTAGCCAAGGGAATCCTTGAGGGATTCTGCTCTGAGGAATGGTTAACTTCCACCTAGATATTACATTTTCCCACAGTTTTCACAGCGCACAGACCAGGAGATTCCCTGGGTGCCTATGCCCCCAGGACCCTGGGTGTCAACCACAGAACTGAGCAACCATTTTGACAGATACAGAGCTGGCTTGCTGCATTTTTTTTTTTTTTTTTTTTTTAAACCAAGTGGTGCCTGGAATGCCAACGAGACAGAACTTTCCACTCCCCTAGAAAGGGGGCTGAAGCCAGGGAGCTAAGTGGTCTAGAACAATGGATCCCACTCCCACAGAGCCCAGCAAGCTAAGATTCATTGGCTTGAAATTCTCTCTGCCCGCGCAAGTCTGAGGTCAACTCGGGACACTTGAGCTTGATGAGAGGAGGGGCATCCGCCATTACTGAGGCTTGGTGGGTCAATTTTCCCCTCACAGTGTAAACAAAGTCTCTGGGAAGTTCGAACTGGGCAGAGCTCACAACAGCTTGCCAAAACTTCTATAGCTAGACTGTCTCTACAGGTTACTCCTCACTGGGTAGGGCATCTCTGAAAGAGAGGCAGCAGTCCTAGTCAGGGTCTTATAGATAAAACTCCAGTCTTCCTGTGACAGACCACCTGGGGAAAAGGGCTGCTGTAGGCACAGCTTCAGCAGACTTAAATGTTCCTGCTGGCTGGCTCTGAAGAGAGCAGACAGACTGCCTCCTCAAGTAGGTCCCTGACCTCTGTGCCTCCTAATTGGCCCCTGATCCCTGACCCCTGTGACTCCCAGGAAGGTTCGACAGACACCTCATACAGGAGAGCTCCTGCTGGCATCTGATGGGTGCCTCTCTGGGACGAAGCTTCCAGAGGAAGGAACAGTCAGAAATCTTTGCTGTTCTGCAGCCTCCGCTGGTGATACCAAGGTAAACAGGGTCTGGAGTGGACCTCAAGCAAGCTCCAGCAAGCATGCAGCAGAGAAGCCTGACTATTAGAAGGAAAACTAACAAACAGAAAGCAATAGCATCAACATCAACAAAAAGGACTTCCACATAGAAACCCTATCTGAAGGTCACCAACATCAAAGACCAGAGGTGGATAAATTTAAAAAGATAAGGAGAAAAAACAGTGCAAAAAAGCTGAAAATACCAAAAACCAGAATGCCTCCTCTCCTCCAAAGGATCAAAACTCCTTAACAGCAAGGGAACAAAACTAGATGGAGAATGAGTTTGATGAATTTGGCTTAAAAGGTGGGTAAAAACAAACTCCTCCGAGCTAAAGGAGCATGTCTTAACCCAATGCAAGGAAGTTAAGAACCTTGCAAAAAGGTTAGAGGAATTGCTAACTAGAATAACCAGTTATTAATAGCCTACCAACCAAAAAAAGCCCTGGACCATATGGATTTACAGCCAAATTCTACCACAGCTAGAAAGAGGAGCAGATACCATTCCTTCTGAAACTATTCCAAACAATAGAAAATACAAAAGAGGGATTCCTCCCTACCTATTTTATGAGGCTAGCATAATTCTGATACCAAAACCCGGCAGAGACACACACAAAAAAAGAAAATTTCAGGCCAATATCCCTGATGAACATCAATGTGAAAATCCTTAATAAAATACTGGCAAACCAAATCCAGCTGCACATCAAAAAGCTTATCCACCACAATCAAGTCGGCTTCATCCCTCGCATGCAAGGCTGGTTTAACACAAGCAAATCAATAAAAATAATCCATCATATAAAGAGAAGCAATGACAAAAAATCACATGATTATCTCAATAGATGCAGAAAAGGCCTTTGATAAAATTCAACACCACTTCATGCTAAAAACTCTCAATAAACTATATATTGATGGCACATATCTCAAAATAATAAGAGCTATTTATGACAAATGCACAGCCAATATTATACTGAATGAGAAAGAGCTGGAAGCATTCCCTTTGAAAACCAGCACAAGACAAGGATGTTCTCTCTCATCACTCCTATTCAACGTAGCATTGGAAGTTCTGGCCAGGGCAATCAGGCAAGAGAAAGAAATAAAGGGTTTCAAATAGGAACAGAAGTAGGCAAATGTCTCTATTTTCAGATGACATGATTGTATATTTAGAAAATCCCATCGTGTCAGCCCAAAATTTTCTTAAGCTGATAAGCAACTTCAGCAAAGTCTCAGGATGCAAAATCAATGTGCAAATATCACAAGCATTCCTATACACCAGTAATATTCAAACAGAGAGCTAAATCATGAGTGAACACGCATTCACAATTGCTACAAAGAGAATAAAATACATAGAAATACAACTTACAAAGTATGTGAAGGACCTCTTCAAGGAGAACTATAAACCACTGCTCAAGGAAATAAGAGAGGGTACAAACAAATGGAAAAACATTCCATGCTATGGATAGGAAGAATCAATGTCATGAAAATGGCCATACTGCCCAAAGTAATTTATAGATTCAATGCTATCCCCATCAGCTACCATTGACTTTCTTCACAGAATTAGAAAAAAACTACTTTAAATTTCATATGGAACTAAAGAAGAGCACATATAGCCAAGACAATTCTAAGAAAAAAGAAGAAAGCTGGAGGCATAACACTACCTGACTTCAAGCTGTACTACAAGGCTACAGTAATCAAAACAGCATAGTACTAGTACCAAAACAGAGGTATAGACCAATGGAACAGAACAAAGGCCTCAGGAATAATGCTACACATCTATAACCATCTGATCTTTGACAAACCTGACAAAAACAAGCAATCAGGAAATGATTCCCTATTTAATAAATGAGGTTGGCAAAACTGGCCAGCAATAGGCAGAAAACTGAAATTGGACCCCTTCCTAACATGTTACACAAAAATTAATTCAAATGGATTAAAGACTTTAACTTAAGACTTAAAATCATACAAACTTAGAAGAAAATCTAGGCAATACCATTGAGCACATAGGCATGGGCAAAGACTTCTTGACAAAAATATCAAAAGCAATGGCAACAAAAGCCTAAATTAACAAATGGGATCTAATGAACTAAAGAGCTTCTGCACAGCAAAAGAAACTATCATCACAGTGGCAACTACAGAATAGGAGAAAGTTTTTGTAGTGTATCCATCTGACAAAGGGCTAGTATTCAGAAACTACAAGGAACTTAAACAAAAAAACAAACAACACCATCAAAAAGTAGGCGAAGAATATGAACAGACAACTTCCCAAAAGACGACATTTATGTGGCCAAAAAACATATGAAAATAAGCTCATCATCACTGGTAATAAGAGAAATGCAAATCAAAACCAAAATGGGAAACCATTTTATGCCAGTTAGAATGACCATCATTAAAAAGTCAGGAAACAACAGATGCTGGAGAGGATTTGGAGAAACAGGAAGACTTTTACACTGTTGATGAGAGTGTAAATTAGTTCAACCATTGTGGAAGATAATGTGGCAATTATCCCAGAATCTAGAACCAGAAATACCATTTGACCCAGCAATCCTATTACTTGGTATATACCCAGAGGATTATAAATCATAATACTGGAAAGACACATGCACATGTATGTTTATTGCAGCACTGTTCACAATAGCAAAGACTTGGAACCAACCCAAATGCCCGTCAATGATAGACTGCACAAAGAAAATGTGGCACATAAACAACATGGAATACTAGGGAGCCATAAAGAAGGATGAGTTCATGTCATGTGTTTCCAGATAACATGATTGTATATTTAGAAAACCCCATTTTCTCAGCCCAAAATTTCCTTAATCTGATAAGCAACTTCAGCAAGGATGAACATGGAAACTATTATTCTCAACAAACTAACATAGGAACAGAAAACCAAAGACTACATGTTCTCACTCATAAGCAAGAGTTAAACGGTGAGAACAGGTGGACATGAGGGGCGGGGGAACATCATACACCAGGGCATGTGGGTGGTGAAGGGCTAGGAGAGGGATAGTATCAGGAGAAATACCTAATGTATGACAGGTTGATGGATGCAGCAAACCACCATGACACGTGTATACCAATGTAACAAACCTACACATTCTGCACATGTATCCCAGAACTAAAAGTAGAATTTAAAAAATTTTGCAAAACACAAAAAAATTAAAAATAGCATTAAAGATAAAGAAGTGCATCTTCTTTAAAAAATGAATAAATTCTGTGCAGTACTTATAGGAGTATTAAAGAAAATGAAAAGTAGTTTTATATTATATGTGCCTCAATATTGAGAATAATAGAAAACATTTGAAAGTAAAATAAGGCTATTAAGAAATAATGTAGGAAAAATTAAAATGTATGACCAAATAAACATTTTTAGTAGAAAATATGTCTAATACAAAGTAATCAAATTCTCTCACCTAGTAGAATATCACTTTTCTCCCCTGCAATCTGCAGGGGGAGTATAAAACAAATAGAAGCAATATTCACTCAGAGACAAATGAAAAGATGAGCAAACAATCAAAATCCATCCAACAGTTGAGAGGGAACACATGACATAAAATTAGGTGCAAATATCAACAGATGAGAAAATGGACATCAAAGGAGAAGGAGACACCGTAGCACACAGATCATCCTTTTGTATTTTGCAACATGCCTCACAAAAACTGTGAAATACCCATAGAAATTAAATATAAAGTGTCATTGAAAAGCAAGAGATGTACATTGGGGGAAAGACAGTCTCTTCAGTAAATGCTACTGGATATTCATAGGCAGAAGGATGAAACTAGAACCTATCACTCACCAAACACAAAAATCAAATCAAAATGAATTATACGCTTAAGTGTAAGACCTGAAATTACTAGAAGAAAACAATGAAAAAATCCTTTAGAGAATTAGTCTGGGCAAAGATTTTTTTTCAGTAAGACTTGAAAAGCACAGACAACAGCAGCAAAAAATGACAAATGGAATAATATTAAGCTAAAAAGCTGCACTGCAAAGGAAACTATCAACAAAGTAAAGAAAATATTTGCAAACTGCCTATCTAATGAGAGATTAATAACCAGCATATATAAGGAACTTGAACAACTCAATACCAAAAACAAAACCCACAAATAGTCCAATTTAAAAATGACCTAACTAGACATTTCTCGAAAGAATGCATACAAATAGACAATACATACATGAAAAAATGTTCAACATCACTAACAATCAGGAAAATGCAAATCAAAACCACAATGAGGTATTATGTTCTACTGGTTAAAATGGCTACTACAAAAAGGTGAAAAGATAAATGTGAGCAAAGATGTGGGAAAAAATGAACCCATTTACACTGTTAATGGGAAAGTAAATTAGCACAGACATTATAGAAACATTATGGAGGTTCCTCAATAAACTAAAAATAAAACTACCATATGATCCAGCAATCCCACTACTGGATATATATAAATATATTGAAAAGAAGGAAATCAGTATACTGAAGAGACATCTGCACTTTCACATTTACTGCAGCACTATTTACAATAGCCAAGATATGAAATCAACCTAAATGTTCATCAATAAATAAATGGATAAACATGAATATAAAGAAACATACAATGGAATCTTATTCAAACATAAAAAAACATAATTCTGTCATTTGTAGCAACATGGAAGAGCCTGGAGGATGTTATGTTAAGTGAAATAAGCGAAGCACAGAAAGACAATTGTATGCTTGCGCTTGTAAATGGGAGTCTGAAAAAAAGATCTCATGGAGGAATTGAGTAGAAAGATGGGTACCACATGTTGGGAAGGGTAGTGGGGAGAAAAAGATAGAATAACGGGTAGAAAAATATAATTATATAAGATTGAACAAGTTCTAGTGTTAGATAAAACACTGTTGGGTGACTAGAAAGTAATGCCAACACCCACTATTACATTTGCACAAACCTAACTTCAAGAGAGAATTCTGAATCTTTTGAACATACACAAAAAATGATGAGATCAATTCTTTCCAAAAGAATTAACCACTAATTCAATAAGTTTATACTAAAATTTACTAGGAATACATAGTGAGTGCCAACAAGTATAAAAACTTGGAAAACCCAGATTAACTAGGGTTATTACCTGTGAAATAACCACAAATCTATACTAATTAGACATTTTTATTCATAAATGTTTAAATAAAGAGATATAACACAAATGTTTAATCCATGGGAATTGGTATGTAATAAAAAGTGTCCTTTGTTTTAATTGATGAAAATTAAACTATATGATCATCAAATCTGGCACAATTGACTGATAATTTACTGTCTTCAGCAACCAGAAGCATAACTTTAGATGAATTAATTAAATATCTAAACATAGAGGCTTTAAATGGATGAAAATAAAAATCATGAAATTATTGCTGACTTACAATATTTTCATAATATATGTAATTACATAGAAAGGTACTAAATATCAAGAAAAGAACAAAAAAAAAGCACAATAAAATACAGGATAGGATTGTAATAGTATCCATGAAAGATTAAATAAAATAATCAAGAAATATGAACAAAAGCTTAACACCATAGATAATTACAAAAGCACAAATTAAGCACTAAACTGATTTTCCCTTTATTGGATTGGCAAATATTAAAATAACAATATTTTTGTTAGTGAAATGAGCAGTGATATGCTTTTGTGGGACTGTGAACTACTACTAATTTTTTAACAGAATATAGTTGTATCTGTTGAAATTAAAATATAAATACCTTTGAAATCAGCATTTCTGCTTCTGAAAGTCTATCCTACAGAAATGTTTGCATCTAAACTCAAAGATGTATATTTAAAGATAATAATCAGTAGCAACCAAAAATGTGGGAGCAGATTTAGTTCGTCTCTATGGGAGTGCTTCAAAAAACTATGTTACCCAATATCATACATAGATATGCAGACATACAACACATTACAAATAGATGTTGTGTTGACATGAATGTACCCCAGACATATGTTTAAGAGTAAAAAGTAATACATATGCAGACAACATCAGAGATGGAAAGAATCTCCTAAATGACTGAGATGGGAAGCCCACTGTTGCACCAGCCCTCAATATTTGCCACTGGCCATAGGAGATGGAGCTAGGATACAGAGGTATCTCGATGAAGAGGCATACTTTGCATAATTTAATTTTGTAAACTAAATTAAAAGTGACATATTAAGTACAGCATTCTAAGAAAGTCTTTTTTTCTAGATTATAGAGAATTCAGAGGGGTACTTAAGAAACATAATCCCAAATCTTAGTCTTACTAAGTATTTATCTGTTTTACCTTTCTTCCCCAAGAAAATGTATGTTTCTCTTATTATTAAGGTGAGTTTTTGTTTTACACGAAGAATGTAGAGGGCATTGCTAAATAACGAATGAATGAATGCATGGATGAATGGATGGATGGATGAATAACTTTAACTTTCAATATTTACATTTTTTTCAGACATTTTTGTCTCACTCACAGCCACTCCTTACACTTCAACTGCTTATAAACTTCACTTTCCATCTGGTTAACCAGGAGCAATTTTGCAATGCTGCACATGAACAAACCTAGTATTTCACACTCTAAAGATAAAAATATTTAGATTCACAATTTATCCCTCAGTCCTGCTTGGTCACCAGTTACCTAACATAAATCCTAACCTAGTTAATTAATTAGTTTCTTGCCAATCATTCTGAAAATGCATATTCCAATTTAATATTAATAATTCAATGAGTTTAATAGATACTGTAAAAATTAAAAAACTAAAAATTAACATGGATTACATGCTTACTATCTGCTTTAATTCTCACAACAGCATCATAAATAGCTTCTGTTGTTTTATTTATAAGGGAACTGAAGTCCACATACATTAATAAATGTAAATGTGGCATGTGGTAAAATATATGCAATACTTCATCCAATGATTTGGATGTGATTTATTAGCACAAAAATTCAGGTGTGGT